ATTTCATTCTTAGATCCCATGAGTCCTGCTGCAGATTTCGGGATTTACAGCATTAGGGGAAAAAATATTGTTTAATTAATAATGGTAAGATAAATGAAAAAAGAAAACTTAATGGGACATTTTTTAATCTTAGCATGCAGTGATAGGAGAAGCCAAGTTCAGTTTTGACATATGGGTCAATCAAAACAGACAAGTTGGAAGGAGTTCATAGAAGAGCACCCACGATAATTGGAGTATGAGAAGGGCTGACTGGTTTCTAGAGGAAGAGGAAGAAACCGTATGTTCCGTTATACTTGAAGAGGGGCCAACAGGGAGGGGTATGATAAAACTCAATAGAAATGAAAAGCCAAGAGGAAAATAGTGGTGCTGGCATGGCATAAAGAAGGATTATCCAGGAATAATGTAATAAAATCAAGAAAATATTCAGACAGGTTGAAGTCTAGCAACAGCTTCATGAGAATGATAGATTTTATATCATTTGATTAACATATCTAATATTTCTTAGATGTCTTTTAAAACTGTCTGAGAGGTTTAACCCAAAAAGATGTCCATGTTTATGTGACTACCGTGACCTGCTTCATCATCTTGGGATACGCATATTGCCATATCTCCTTTATTTTCCCAAATCTGCCCTATTAGCAGAATATGGAGTTTCTTCTTGAGGCCACCCTAGCTGTCTCAGAGTCCAAAGACACACCAGTCTTGTTTGTAAACTGGAATCTGGTTATCCACTCACTGCCTTTGCTTTACCACTGTTGATGACTGCTCCTGCCTGATGGGGCAGACTGTTGCTACTCTGAAGCCATCAGGCCCCCACTGTGACCTCAGTGGAACCCTACACGGGGTTCCCAAGTGACATATTCTTTTAGTTCATACTACCTTGCTCAGCCGTGTTTTCCAGAACAAATCTCTAGGCTAAGACAGGCAAAGACTGGAGGAACTAATCGCATCACCTTCACATATTGTACTGAAATTTCTCCTCGGTTTGGATTCCCCATTTCCTAAAAGTAATTTTATTTCAAAGGACTTGTTCTCTTCCCTTCACCCAGGGACACTCTGCTCCATCCAGACAGATCTCCCTAACTTGTAACCTGTGGGGAGCAGGGGTTGAGGTCCTAATTCCTTTTCTCCTAGAAGGCTTTAGTTTCCTCATGTATTTTATCCATCCCATTTCATCTCTGCAGAGACAGTTTTGCTAAGCCATGCAACATCAACAAATAAGGCACATTAATTGTCTTTAGAACCTCAAAAGAAGCTAGCTTCTCTCAGTTAAAACGATAGTATCCAATCCCTATGAGCAGTTAGGTATATTTATAGATTCCTAGATGCATAGAATTGTATATCTGTAAGAATTTTGCTAGTCTTCTACTCCAAACTTTTCATTTTACAAACATGCAAGTAGGCCCAGAGAAAGTTAGGTGATTTGTCCACATCCACAAACTGGTTGATGCCGAAGCTGGACCAAAGCCCTAGACCTCTGGTCTGCTCCTTTCTCCACTGCATCTAACTTTCATTTCTCTCTTTTTTTTTTCTTTCATTTCATGTTTCTCTAAAGAACTTAGGGCTTTGTATCCTTCACAGCACGCTTCCCCCCTCTTGATGCAGGTGCATTATGTATTGCTCCATAAACGTGATAGAAAAATGAGACTTTCTTTATAAATGTTTTTTATGAATTAAGCACACCATCTAAGTCCTAGAACATTAATTGTTTCCACCCAGTTTTGAGTACCTGCTACATGCAAGTTATTATGATAAGAAAAAAAAAAACTCAATAAATTTCTACAGACTAATTGAGAAAACTGAATGTGATCAGAAAAAAAAGTAATATTTTAAGAACCAAGAATGGAGAAAGTAAATCAGACTTGAGACCCTGGATGGGAGTTTTAAAAAAATCCTGAAAACCGTCCAAGGAAATGAAGGATTAATACAAAGCCAGAATAGAAAATATTTGTCTTCTTACTAGAAAATAAAGAATTTAGCGGCAATTTCCTAGGCATAAACAGAAGCCATGTAAACTAGCTCTTACCCTATGGGTTATGGTGATTATAACTGAATTGTGTCATTTATAATGATATTCTGATTGCAGAAAAAGTGGTTCCAGATAATAAAGCTTTATCTTTTATTGGAATACCCTAAGAATTAATAACTCTTCTTTGCAGAAACACTGTAATATGGTATTAGAAACTGTCGTTTATAGCTAAGTTTATACTACATGGTTAGCATTGTGGTAAATTAATGTTTGTAAGTGCTGCTTGAGTTACCTAATGCTGCTATAACAGATGGCAATGGCATCAAAAATATGAATGCGTAGGCATAAATCTGACAAAAGATGTATGAGACCTATACACTACTAGAAAACATTGCTGAGAAAAATTAAAACCCATTGCGTCAAGTTGAGTATGAAAAAAATTAAAAATTGAAGATGACCTAAATACATGGAGAGATATACTATGTTCATCATCAGAAGCCTTAATATTACTAAGATAGCAATTCTTCCTAAATTGATCAATAGGTTCAGTACAATCCCAGTGAAAACCCCAGCAGGTTTTTTGTAGAAATTGACAAACTGATTCTAAAATGTATACAGAAATGCAAAGAATCGAAGTAACTTTGAAAAAGAACAAAGTTAGAGTACTAAGATTACATGATTTCAATACTTGTTATAAAGCTGTAGTAATCCGCACAGTGTGATATTAGCATAAAGATAAACAAATATCAATGGAACAGAGTCCAGAAATAGACCCACAAATATGTAGACAATCAACTTTCAACAAAGGTGCAAAGCCAATTCAATAGAGAAAGGATAGTCTTTCCAACAAATGGCACTGGAACAATTGGATATTCATAATGCAAAAGAAAGACAAACTAACATTAATCTATACCTTGTAACATATACAGAAAACAATTCAAAAAGAATCACAGACCTAAATGTAAGAGCCGAAAAAATAAATAAGTAAAATTTCTAACAGAAAACATAGGAAAAATTTTTGTGACCTTGGTGTAGGCAAAGATTCTTTAGGTACAACACCAAAAGCAAAGAAGAAAAATTTGGTTAATTGGACTTCATCAAAATGAAGAACTTGCTGCTCTTTGAAAGACACTGTTAAGAGTATGAAAAGACAAGCTACAGACTTGGAGAAAATACTTGCAAATTACATACCTAATAAAGAACTTTTATTCAGAACTCTCAAAGTTCAATAATAAGTAAACAACCCAATGAAAAATGAACAAAAGATTTCAATACATACTCACCAAAGAAGATATGCAGATGGCAAATAAGCACATGAAAGATATTCCACATCTTCAGTCATTAGTGAAGTGCAAAATAACACCACCAAAAGATACCACCGTATATCTATTAGAATGGCCAAAGTTAGAAAGACTGACCGTACCAAGTATTGGCAAGGATGTGAAAGAATTGGAACTCTAATGAATGGATAAAGAAATTGTGGTATGTCCATACAATAGAATAACTACTTAGGAAGAAAGGAACAAACTTTTGAAACATGCAACAACATGGATGAATTAAAAAATAATTATGCTGAGTAAAAGAAGCCAGACAGAGCAGAGTACTTACCCTAGGAGTCCATTTATGTAAAACTCCAGAATATGCAAACTAACATATAGCGTCAGAAAGGAGAACAATAGTTGCAAGGGATAGAAAATAGGTGGAAGAGAGAGACTGCTAAGGGACATAAGAAAACTTTGTAATTGTATTTGCAATGCAGCAGAACATAATTAGATAACACATCGAAGATAAGGTTTTCAAATGATTCCGAATCATGGCGACCCCTGTGTTGCAGAGTAGAGCTGTGCTCCACTGGGTTTTCAGGGTTGTGACCTTTCAGAAGCAGATTGCCAGGCCTTTCTTCAGAGGCAACTCTAGGTAGGTTTGAACCTTGAACCTTTCGGTTAGTAGTCGAGTGCTTAGCCCTTTGTGTCAAACAGGGACTCTACATAAGGACACCTTGGGTGGTGATGGATATGTTCAGGATCATAATTGTGATGATAGTTTCACAGTTGTGTACATACATCAAAACACGTCATATTGTACACTATACACATATATGCAATTAAAACTGTTAAAAAATAATAAAGCCCCTCCCCCCAAAAAGACTCACTAGTGGGATTCATGGTAGTCATAGGCATTATTGGAAAACTATGTTATATAAGTTAAGTCATTTATAAATGCTCCAAGGATGCTGTTTTTTAAAATACCTCAATGGACACTCTTTAAAGCAAAGACCCCTTTTGTAAAAGTGATCTTCACTGTTGAATATATCTTTTTTTATGACTCCTGATATGGTATAAAGTGTTTCCTTAAAAAGTATACATCAAAGCAGCCGGGATAATAACAAGACAATTGCATATCTTTTTAGGAGCCTAGTAACGATCACATTATGTTGGTTGTGCTTTGTCTGAAGTGGCAAAAGAGGGTAGTTGCAGTAGCTGGCTCTGTCTGTTCTGTAGTACAGACAGAGTTGAATTTATTTGTTAAATTGTGTATTGTTATTAGATATTTACTCAGCTTGGCATCTTAGCCAAATTTCAGCTTAGGGACTTTATGTGTACTTCACCAACATAGCATTGCAAACATTTAAAAGGGATCCATTTCCTCTTTACACAAATCTCAATTAGTACTTGAATTGGGACTATTTATAAATAGTGGAAGTTTCTTTTCAGTCTTATATCAAAGTCAGAATTACAAAGTTTTAAAGTACCCACGTGCTTAAAATTTCTTAGGTGTTCATTAAAAAATCTGGCTTTGTTACCATGGGGTAAATGATGCATTGAGTGGAAAGGCTAAAAGTCAGCAATAAACCATGACTTTCCAGATAAGTTTTCTGAGCTTATTGTGCTAACTGAACATGAATGTGCTGATTGGCAATTCTGCTCCTTTCTGCTGGCTCATGGCAGTGTGACACAGGAACTGTGATGTCCTCTCTCTCCTCCATCTCTGACTCTGATGTATGTGGTGACTCGGCCTTTCTTTCTTTCAGGGTGTGAACGGCATGTCTGTGGATGAGAAGCCTGACTCCCCCATGTATGTGTATGAGTCCACAGTCCACTGCACCAACATCCTCCTGGGCCTCAATGACCAACGGAAAAAGGATATTCTCTGTGATGTGACTTTGATTGTGGAGAGGAAGGAGTTCCGGGCCCACCGGGCTGTGCTGGCCGCGTGCAGTGAATACTTCTGGCAGGCGCTGGTTGGACAGACGAAACATGACCTGGTGGTCAGCTTGCCTGAGGAGGTACAGTCGTTTAGTTTGTTTGTGTGGTTGTCAATGAAGGCTTATTGGCTTGTAGAAAGTTGGCTGAGTAGGGGCTGGATGGTAGACCCTATGCCACGTCCTCACTCAAGGGCTTATGCCCAAGTCACCACGCATTAGGTCTGTGGTGTAACCAGTTTCTATTTGAAGCACTTAAAGTCTCAGAGTCACAAATCTGAACAGAGCACCTCACTTGAAGGGAACTGAACCTCACCTGCGGCTCACAGTCACTTGGAGTTTCTGGTTCACTTCTCTTCATTCAGGTTTTGAGTAGTTCAGCCAGAGTTTGGTACGGACCTGTATGTGGGATCTGAATCACTGTCACTGTGGCTATGATTTAGCTCTTTCAGATGGTTTAAGGATTGCTAGATTTCCGTTGAGAGTAAAAGAATGAAAGAATTCACAGCACCTTCTCTGCTTGGGGGAAAAATAAAAGCAACCAGTAATTTTCACAGTTAATATAGTAACATTCTGAGAAGTGTAAACTTGCTTTACTCACCATTGTTGAAAATACCCTACTTAGGTTTCTTAATTACTTCAGTGAACCCGGTCATTTCTGTACTTTAGGGTAGCTTGACCTTCTGTCCAGAGATGACATTCAATGGGGTGGTTTGAGCTGTAGGAAGTCAAAGAATGGGCTTCACAATGGCCAACAATTAAATTGTCACCCTCTGAACTGTGTGTACAATTCCTCTTCTTCCATCATCCTGACTTCCTTTCATTTTCATGGGATTAATGGTAATACTGAGCGGTCTGAGGCCTGTGTTTAGGATGGAGTCATTCCCTGTGACTCTAGGGCCACCATCAACAGCTGTGCAGGCTGTGCATTGCAGAACCTCCAGGGGTACAACATACATCCATAGTCTATGTGAATGGCCCCCGGAGTCATGCAGTGTGCCCCTGAGCAGCTCTTCGCTGCAGCCTAGGAAAAGTCAAAGACACCATCACCCTGATGTGAGGTGCTAATGATTACAAAAAACCTGTTGCTGTCAAATCGATTCCGACTTATAGGGACCCTACAGGACAGAGTAATACTGCCCCATAGGGTTTCCAAGGAGCAGCTGCTGGATTCAAACTGCCCACCTTTTGGTTAGCAGCTGTAGCTCTTAACCGCTAGGCTACCAGGGTGGGCATTAAATCCTAGGGCTCACAAACCGAACTCCTCCAGAGGCCTGGCAAATAATGTAATTAAGTAAAGTAGTATAGATGAGTAAAGTGATATAAACGAGTGAAAATATAACTGTGTATAAGACAGTAGGGAGTTGTGGGGAGAACGCCTGCTCCACCAAAAAGCACCCAAATTCAATATAAAAAACAAACAGGCAAATAAGACAGGCCCCGGGGGCCACCAGATTCCAGTCTCTCGTTAAGCAGCATCTGCTGTTGCCACTGCACAGCAGGAGAGTGACCAGCTGATAACGTGAGAACTGCACAGGCATTCAGCGTTTTCACATTAATATCCTTTTTATGTACTCACAATAAAATGCTCCATTACCACTAACAAATAGAGAACTAAAAAGATAGAAAAATGACAAATCCATTGGAGATGACGTAATTGGAACAGAGGTGGAGCGGTAAAAGTTGTGTACCTGGTAATGTGGGAAGGCTGAGGAGTGGCAGCTGTGGTGTGACTGGGTAACGTCTGAGCCGGATTTTCCTCATCTCCACTAATAGGGGAGTACTTAACCCACTCGGTTGCCGTGAAGACTAGGCGAGTTGATAAATAAAAGTTCTCAGCATGGTTCCTATCCCAGAGTAGGCATTCATCAAATGTACGACACTCTCTTCTTCTCTAGATAAGCAGCAAGAATATATTTCTTATTTACGTGAACTCTAGAAATCTCTAGAAATATTTGGAAAACTTCTGTTTATCCAGAATCGTCTTGGGTGGGGAGCAGGGCTTATGGTTAACTTATGAACTGTAAGTGTTTGAGAGCCATTTCATTTATAATGTTTTTTACTGATTTTCAAAAAATTAAATTATATTAAAATATACTTACAAATTAAAATTATACTTTATGTAAGTTAATTTCTCTCTGTTGACACCATCTGAGACTCCCTGGACCATTTGCCCTAAGCCCAGGCCTGTACCCAGTTAGCTCTGGGATCCTGGTCTGGTCACTTAACCTGTCTGAGCCCTAGTTCTTACCTGTAAAAACCACTAAAATTCTGAAGTCCTTGAATTATTTATCATAATACCAGGGCAGTAAAATTTAAAGGAAATTGGGCTATAAATGTATATGACATAACCTGAAAGTTTCTTTTTATATCAAATTCCAGATAACTGCTTATTTCCTTAGCATTGGGCACTCTTTAAAGGAAGAGGCATACTCTACAGACATCACACAAAAATCTACTGTTGGACCTCTTTGATTGTTTGCAAATTGTAACAGTTTTGCTCTGTGTGGATTTTCTTTCTTCCTAGCTGTGTAAATGGTTATTGCCCCTACATCATCTATAGCCTCCAAACCATTAAAGCATTCTGGTTGCTCATGTATCTGAAACCTGAAGATGTAACTCTATGCTTTTTTTTTTTCCTTCTATGAAATATGTATTTATATTGTCAGTACTCTAGCAGATGGGGCCTGCAGACCAGCCCCAGTGGTGTTTTCCTTTGTAGATTCATCATTGTTTCTAAGGGTCTCCTTTAAAGAACCCTCCCCTCTGCTCAGACCACCCACCTGTGGTCCCCATGCACTAGGCATAGTTTTCCTCCCTTTACTGTGTGACACTGAGATGTCCTTGCAGGCTCTATGGTAATTATCCCACTTTGCTCAGTGAATGACTTTATAGAATGTGAATTAAGTAATAAATAAGCAAACAACCCAAACGCTACCTTGGAAAGTAGCTGCCTGGAACTAACTGGCATTTGTTTCATATGATGTAAGAGAAAGCATTTGATTAACTCCTTGGCCCACCACTACACTCCCTGGCCAGCCATCCACAGTGCTTCTCAGGGAGCCAGCATGGCCAAGTCTGAAAGTTTCTCTTTGGACTGTGAAGCTTCCAAAAGCAAGCTGCCACCACTCCCACACCCCTACTAAGTCAGTTTAGGCCAGATCTAGTCCTTTCCTCCACTGCTATCTAGTCATGAGGTTCTACCCCCCAAATCCTAGCTACTGATGGACAACACCACTGCCAGCAAGTGTCCAGGTAGCCTCTAGACTGGAAGTAGGACGGACAATAGAGGCCTCCTTCTCTGAGGCAAGGAATAATTGAAATGTCTTGCCCTTTTTTCCCTCCCTAAAATGGAATAGCATATATTCTAGGATTTATAGGTCTTGAGTGTTGACTCTCCATTGGAAAACACACCCAGGTATACGTCAGCAAATAGTAGGAGACAAAGCGTTGTACTTAATACTGTCACTAAATAATAAAACATGCCATTTAATTTATAATTACTCATTGCCATCGAGTTGATTCCAACCCATGATGACCCCATTTGTCACAGAGTAGAACTGCTCCATAGGGTTTTCTTGACTGTAATTTTTGCAGAAGCAGATCACAAAGCCTTTCTTCCATGGTGCTGCTGGGTGGGTTCTAACCACCAACCTTTAGGTTAGTGGTCAAGCACAAACCATTTGCACCACCCAGGGGCCTTAATTTATAATTAGTAAGTGTATTTTGTGCTAAGAGATGAAGAGAAAACGGTACATGTTCCAGGCATCCGAAGCCATTCTTCCACTGCTCATTAGGATTAAAGTTGGCTTAACAAACACCTACTTAGCTATCGTCATGGAGACCATTTCAGGCTAGATGCCAACTCTGCTGGAAGTGGCATCACAGTGGTAAAGCCCAGACTCATGGTGTGTCGAGTACAGGGGACAGGAATGGGGTATGCTTTTTAAAGACATGTAGCCCACAGTGGGTTTGCACACCAACTCCTTTCTTAAATGAGGCTGCTTGGTTCCACTGCCTTTCTTTGGACCGGTTGCCTATGTCCTCCTATACTCTAAAGAAGAGAAAGGGTTCATTCAGGGACTGGCTATAGGGCAAAAGTGAATTTGGTGACTTCGAGTGGACCTTATGCTTTCTTAAGTGTATTTCAGAGTTCTGTTCAGAGTTCTGTTCTCTCTCTCTCTCCCTCCCTC